CAATTGCTATTCGGATCAAAAAGCCAGAGCTTTGCATCCAGAAGAAATATGTCCAGCCACTCCTTTTACCCTGGTCAACTTCAGGGTCAACTTGTTAATAATCAATTTTATAATATGGTGACATCAATCTGATTAATGCTCATTTTTATATCCTAAACTTATTTTATCTACACATCTTACCAGTCATTATTATTATTATTATCATTATTATTATTATTAATATTAATATTATTATTATTATTATTATTATTATTATTATTATTATTATTATTATCACACTTGCTAACCTTTTAGAGAAATTTATTCAGCATCCACCCCTATTTACTATATCTGACCTAATTCATATTATTCTACATATTACGTAATTTCTGATTTGTAATCCCATTGTTCTCTATCTCACCCCCATATCAACTATATATATATTCTGATCATTTATCTTACGATTTTATTTCACTTATAAACGGATTCAAGTTAACACTTCATATTAGTCAGCTCCAACATTGACGATTCAATTTGATTTTATATGACAAACAACATTCCTTGATTCACATATTACAGTTTCTTAAATGATATACTCTGCCTTAAACTTGGTCAATCTTCTTTTATGGATTATTAATTTGGATTTGATCATTGTAGAACGTGATGAGATATTATTGAAAAGAATATACTTCGTTCATATAATTGTGTTTTAATGAATAATGGTTATTTGAAGTTCATAAACTGCTGGAATGGTTGCAATACGATCAAACCTACGACGCTTCTGACACCCAAAAAGCGAGTTTATTTTATGTAACCATTCAGGGACAACTCAAATAGTCTCATGTTGAAACGGAGAATGAAATTAGCTATCGACAGGATATTTTATGCAGCTCAACTTGTCTTTCACTTAGTATTGTTTGTTTGAATCTTCCCATCGATGTGTTAGGACTGCAACTGGTCAGTCTCTAATTGGCATATGTGCATACTGTGCGTATTGCCTCGATATAGCCTTGATTCACAAGCATGATAAGCAAAGATGGATAGTGGCTAGCTGTGGAATCCAGTTTGGTACGTGTTTCGTTGTATTTGGGACTTACCAGCTGGATGTACCTGCGTCTCAGAGTTGATGGAAAGATGGGAAGATTCAAACAAACAATACTAAGTGAATTTAAACTTCACCCCATCGCACAAGCAAGTGGCTATCAGGACTCAGTGGCTGAGTGGATAACGCGATGGCGTTTGAAGTGAGGGTACTGGGTTCGAGCCCCAGAGTGAACATCAACTCTGAGATGCAGGTACATCCAGCTGACGAGTCCCAAATAGGACGAAACGCGCGTCCTGGATTCCACTGCTGGCCACTATCCATCTTTGCTTATCAACTTGTCTTTATTGAAAAGACAAGTTCTATGTTTCACGAAAAACCCAAACAGCTCATAAGAGGTTGTGTCACATCCCATTGTGTCTATCATTTTACATGTATTTCGGAAACACGTACATAGGGTAGAGCAATGGTTATCTGAAATTAAGGGTGGCGGAACACATACCTGAATGGCTGCAGAAACAAATGAATGCTAATGGTCAAATAAGGTCACAGGATAGACAGACATCTTCCTCCATTGCGAAATATTTGGTTAAAACTGGTCCTAAGGTTGACAAAAGCCTTCAAGGACATATACTAAGGTTTATTGAAGCCTCGGCTATACGGAAATCGAAGCCCCCTTTATGTGTTCAAAAACAATATGTTCTTATGCTCAACCTACCCTGGTAATGCTGATTTTTTATCCGAAGTGGTCATCACATTGTTTTTGTGTACTTTTTTTCTTTCTTTGTTACGGCTTACCTTACCTGTCTAGTTGACATTTTAATTTTCACATAAAAATGTCTTAGCATATGTGACCAGATGGTTCGAAATGTATTGCACAAATACATCACATAATCACAATTGATTGATCACTGGGTGGTGATCAATGTCATGCGTGTCAAGTCCTGAAGGTCAAAGGAGAAGAGGAAGACATAGGAACGCATTGCGCCGAGAAATGGAGACAGACATGAGAAGAATGAACAACAATTGGATAGAAGTAGAAAGCAAGGCCCAGGGCAGAATGGGTTGGAGAATGCTGGTCGGCGGCCTATGCTCTATTGGGGTTGTGTGGCGCATATGTACCTGGTGCCCTTTTGTACCAATATATGTGTTTAAATAAATAAATAAATAATAATTGGGGGTAACAGGCGTAAGTAAATAAGGTCTAACCATGCCAAGCAAATCGGTCTGAACATCTTTAAACTAAAATTAATAGACTTAGGGTTTCATAGGTTATTAATAAAAATAATATATTTGTAATATTCCCGTAAATTGAAAATCCAATGTTTTACTTATTTGGATATTACAAATATATTGTTTTTATTAATAACATTCTATCCAATGCTCAGTCTATTGGAAATTATCTAGTTCAACTTTAGTAATGAAACGAAATCACTAGTTATCGTGAGGTTGTATGCAGACTTTATGCAGATTTGACATTAGTAATTTCAAGTAGCTTTCCTCAAACGACTAGCATTTATAGCGACAGTTTTCCCAAAACGGAAGTGGGAAGTTGGAAAAGGTTGAGCCTGAGGAAGTCACATCTCAGTTTACCTCACGGATTCCCGTCACCTCTATTAAGATGTGAAATTTACAGAGCTAAAATATTAAAAACTACTGTTATAAAGACCGTAGGTGACTGGTCCTGAGCAAATGTTCTCTGGTCTCCATGATTATGCTCCCGCGCCGCCGAAACTATGCCCAATCTAACTCTATTTACACGTCTATCGGAAAGAATTATCTTTTAACGGCATGAATAACCGCCCATACACCTCTAAAAGGAACAAAGATAATCTTGTTCACAATCAAATCGTCTCATCATCAACATTATTTGTTGTACTTATATAATAATCCTTTATCTTGTATCTTTGATTTCTACATTAGCGTTGACGATTCATGTTCAGACAATGCTATCCCAGGTGTTTTGAAGCTATTCTTCGATCTAATACTATAATAATGTGTAGTTGAAAAAATGAGTAGATTTTTAGCATAAATAGTTATTAAGCAGAGATGGATAGTGGCTAGCTGTGGAATCCAGGACGCGCGTTTCGTCCTATTTGGGACTCGTCAGCTGGATGTACCTGCATCTCAGAGTTGATGTTCACTCTGGGACTCGAACCTAGTACCCTCGCTTCAAACGCCATCGCGTTATCCATCTCTGCTTACCATGCTAGTGAATGAATGCTATATCGAGGCAATAGGCACAGTATGAACATATACCAATTAGAGACTGACCAGTTGCAGTTCTAACACATCGATGGGAAGATTCAAACAAACAATACTAAAATGAATATAAATAGTTATTGTTGAGAAAAAAACACCATAAAGTAAAGTATAACAATCGACAAGGGAGAACTTAAAAACTTACTGAATCAATATTAGTTTACACGAAATTTTTATTCAACTTTTAGTTTAAACACCATTTTGTCGATTTTCGTGCAACTGTGAATAAAATCATGTTTTGCAATGACAATCCTACACATGCTTTTTTTGTGTCAAACATTTCCTAAGGGGTTTTTGTGGATATTTCGACATCGAAAAAGCATGCTAGTTTGTAGTAAAAACTTGTGATCTATCGTTGAGGGTATTTTGAACATTGGTTGTTTAGTCTCTGTAGCCACATGTACAGCGTATGAGAATACAATCAGTATAGCATTTTGCCACATGTTATAGTATATTTAGACGTTTTTGAGGTGATAAGTACTGGGTATTCAAGTCCCAATACAAATACCTGTACTGGGATATTGGTTTATCCATCTAATAAGTCCTAAAAGACCTAAATTCCGCTGCTAACCAAATGTGAATATGAAGTGGAAACTAAGCCTTAAAAATAATTGACTAACAACCTAATTAGGCATTCTTTAAATGATCTGACGATTTTACCAATGCACTACCCCTAATCCACGAAATTAATTTAAATCTGATCATATCACTTTAGTATTTAACCACTTATTTTAATCAGGAATAGTATTACATATAACGTTACTACTTTTATAACATAACACCAGTTTTTCCACTTACAACTATGCAATAATCAAAACTACAATAAACACTATCGTATTTACATGTCTAATTCTTGTTACTATGTTGCCTTGTTTAAACAATTATCATAATTTCATGGCTGATAACATATCAATCTCATCTATTTTCTAAGCTTATTGATTGTAACTGAAAACTGCTTTTAGCTAACACAGAAGCACTGAAGTCTTAAATAAAATGGTGAGATCGTGTTCCTGCTTCAAAAACATTTTTATGTGCTTACATTTATTTTCAACTCATTAAGGCTATATTATGTATAGTTGAAACCAACTAAGACTTTTCATGACTTCTCGATGAGATATGAAACCAAATAGCCAGCTGAATTGCTGGCAGAAATGGGTTGATTCAGAACAACTGAAGAATGATGGGTTTCAGTATTCTTTTAAACGAGAGACTATCCAAATTCACACTTTCCTTCTATCTCACTATATTCACATGAATATAAAAATTATGAGAAGGAAATGGTAGAGATTGTGTTATACGTGTGTGTGCACTGTTTCTTTAGCGTGCCAATTTATTGACAAATTTGAAGCTAATAGATTTCTACATTCAAACTAATGGTGAAATTAGAATCAAATAGCTACTACGACTACTACTAGTTTATTAATTTTGAATTCTCTCGAACTCTGTGAAAAATAGGAACATGATAAATCTTAGATGTAAATCAAGAAAAGGATTAAATGACGAATCAATGGAGTGTATGTCTTTCTGAATCCATATATATTCTATCGAAGTTTGGTTACAGTTGAGGAGTACTGTTCTGGGGAGCCATGAAACAGTAACTCTAAAATTTCTAATGATTCTCCAACTACATTCAGTCTGCGATGTATACTGTACTCTCAAATAAAAATTCCCAATCTTTGGACAGTTCTTATTGGAATTATAGTAGTAGAAAACTTACTTTCAGTATTCATGAATCCTTTAATAGTTGGATCTGGAAATAGCTCTCTATCGATATGTTTATGTATGTCTTTCTCATCATGATCACCTTGATTGTAAGATAACTTTTCTTTACTTAAAAATTGATAGACTCCTTCAAATCCGCGAGCTCCAACACTATCTACATGTGTTTGTAAAGTCAGCATTATAAATCGATGATCTGAGATAATTACAGTTTGTTCTTCATCACCACATAAGAACAATAATTGTTTTTTTAATTCATAGACAAATGGTTTTTGGATAATCTTTTCTAATTGAAAAAATGATGAGTTATTTAAATCAAATAACGGAGTGGTGATTTCATGAAAATGAATTGTATCACGTTGTGAAGTTGAATGACAACTGCAGGCAGGGAGGGGGAAGATAAAGAGAGAAAACTCAATTTATTTTTCAGCAGAATAACATTACGAAAAAAACATAAATAACAGTATCAAAATATAGATAATAGTCATATGATGAGTTTGGTTATTGCTTGAACAGCTCAATGACAGCATCTTTAATTATGACACCTGATGACGCAGATGCAGATTATATGGAGAATGTCCTTTCTCTCAATATCCCGAAAGCATCTTTCTGAAGGCTGTAGATTAAAACGAAGTCTAGTTCAGTCTGGGATCACTTCTGTTTGACTCCAAACATCTACTAGGAATCTCGGTTTTATGATAAATATTTAAGCTCATTTTGTGTTTCTATACGACTATTTACGTGAAACTGTCTCAGTATTAACCTTCTCAATTTACTATCTGTTTTGTTATTTAGGTAAATTTATAAAACAATTCCTTAGTACATATATTTTCATGTATGATATTTTTCCACCTCTAAGTATTCGAATGCAACTGGAATATAACGGTTTCGATTTGATTAATGCAGTGAAAATTCAGGTACATATATTTTCAGAAGGGGGTTTTGTGCTTCTAGGTTTTCCATGATGGTCTAGCTTCAATTGATTCATGATTTCAACTATAAAATTACATATACATGAGAGAACTAGCAACGACGGCATCACACTGTTGTCAATACCAGGAAAAGTTTCCAACAGAGTGTTACTGAACCGGATGAAAGACTCAGTAGACGCCTGACTTCGAGATCAACAGGCTGGATTCAGTAAGGATCAGTCGTGCATAGACCAGATTGAGACACTACGGATCATCGGTGAACAATCAGTTGAGTGGAACTCAACAATCCATACACCATACACATATGGAAATAGGAGTGATCAATCACAGACCTAAACATCAATGTGAAGATTCAAGTAAACAATAACAAGTGAATTCAAAGAGATGATTATTGCAACTAGTAGTCCGAGGTGTTAGTAACATAACTAATTAGAAATTCATCATACAAATGCATCTTGGATCTATTTGGAAACCGACAGATTCTGATCAAAATGTTAAAAATACCAAGTAGTTGTGTAGCATCAAAACTAACCTTTTATAACTCCATAACTGCACATTCTTTAATTTGATTATAATACGTTCATTTGAATGAGCTAAAAAATAGTATTTACATAAGATGGATGCTTTATAAAATCGTGGATAATTAGGACTGAAAAATTTCCCGTCTGTTTTTGTGTGTGAAGAAAAGAATTCTCCATGACTTTGATTTAAACTATTGTTTCTACGCCATATTTGTTGGTTATGATCACCTTGAATTGTGATAAAGGATGAACTGAAAAATAGTTGATCACATTTTGTTGCTTTAATTGGTAGTCCATCAGTTTGATATGCATCTAATTTGAGAAAATTAAATGAAACTAATCGACTTGAAAATTTATATAGATTTCTTCAAATAGAATCAAGAATTATGACAGGAAATGGGTGAAATATTTGACTGAAATATCATTTTTATTAACAATGAACCTGACATTACAGAGTTTCGCGTTATCCTTTAACATATCATTCCATCCAACATGTGCGCAAAACGAGGTAACATGAACGAATTTCCATAATGTCTGATGCGTACCGATCTTATCCAATATAATTATCTAATCTCACTTTTCATTGCATAAGACATTCCTGGAAGTCAGAGGGTTTAAAAATTTCATCTTATTATGTTCTATCGTCCTAGGTCCGTTTCCATATAACAAGTTTGAGTTTCAGGAAAAAAGAAAAGTTGTGAGGGATTTGGTTCGTTGAGCATGGAGAATAACCTAACATAACTAAAAATTTATGAGCCCTAGAATCCTGTGAAATCACTAAGAGTATACAGGTAAATTATTGTGGTGCAATAAGTATGCATCAGCATCAAATACATTCATTCACTCACGATTAAATGAAGACCTCCATGTATAAACTGGGATTGACTTTGTCTTCCAGGAAGAAATTAATAAAACGTCCGAGCTAAGTTTGATGGTGGATGAATTAAATCCAGATATAATTGCTGTCACAGAAACTTGGCTCACTGTATATACAAACTGTTTGTGTTGCACAGTTGGGTGTCTGGCACATGCCATGATAGCACTTACGAAACTGACACATTCTTCGTTATCAGTATCCACGTTACCGCTACAGCCCTCGTCAACCTTCTTGTTAGTTAATACCAGAAGGCGAATTGCTCGAACAACAAAACATACAGAGCCAACGAGAATTAGACTTTGGGCAACTTTTGTAGGCAGTGGGATTTAAGCGGGTTCACATTTTATGGAACCACTTCTTACACTCACCACATTTCATTCCTTCTACAGGAAATAAGCAATATGGCTGTCCACACTTGTGAGCAGAGTCAACTATCTTAAAAATTAACTAAAATGGTAGGAGAAAATAGATGTGTAAGACAAATCTCAGACCTTGATTAAATAAATCAGGCCAAAGTCGACCAAGAATGCTTTGATGCAGTGAATACACAAAAGCAAGATCAAAACACAAATACAATATCACTTTAACTGAAATAAATTCAATTAAAGTGTAAACAGTAGTTTTGATGCATAATAATAAGTCACGACTTGAAAACAACTACGCACTGCAACGAAGCTGCTTCCAAAGGTTATCGTGCGTTATGGTCACTTCGCTGAAAATTCAAATATTTTGACGAGATGTTTCGATTTTTTTTAAACAAATCGATGGCGTAGCTATGAGTAGTCCTTTAGGACCGTTGCTGGCTGATGTGTTTATGGAGTATGTTGAAAATCTAGCTGAAGACTCAATTCAAAAGACGCGTCGATATAAACGATACGTTGATGACATAATTATAGGGGATAAATGTGAAGATGTAAACCACTTGCTAAAAGAACCCAATACAAGCCAAAAACATATTTCTCCTACTTGCGAAGAAGAGAAGAACAACCAACTTCATTTTCTAGATATACTGATCAGTAACGGAGATGATGGTTCTATACAACATTCTGTATATAGAAAGCCAAGATGGACGAGGCAATATCTTAACTTCCACAGTCAGGCCCAATTCCTTAAAAACGTGGATGAATGAAGGGCTTATTTAATAGAATCAGTCGTATATGTACTACAGCTGGTATTGAAGTAGAGACGAAGCTCTTAACTGATACATTAACGAATAATCGCTGAAAAATTCCCATCATATTAAAACACAATTAATATGAACGAAGTATATTCTTTTCAATAATATCTCATCACGTTCTACAATGATCAAATCCAAATTAATAATCCATAAAAGAAGATTGACCAAGTTTAAGGCAGAGTATATCATTTAAGAAACTGTAATATGTGAATCAAGGAATGTTGTTTGTCATATAAAATCAAATTGAATCGTCAATGTTGGAGCTGACTAATATGAAGTGTTAACTTGAATCCGTTTATAAGTGAAATAAAATCGTAAGATAAATGATCAGAATATATATATAGTTGATATGGGGGTGAGATAGAGAACAATGGGATTACAAATCAGAAATTACGTAATATGTAGAATAATATGAATTAGGTCAGATATAGTAAATAGGGGTGGATGCTGAATAAATTTCTCTAAAAGGTTAGCAAGTGTGATAATAATAATAATAATAATAATAATAATAATAATATTAATATTAATAATAATAATAATGATAATAATAATAATAATGACTGGTAAGATGTGTAGATAAAATAAGTTTAGGATATAAAAATGAGCATTAATCAGATTGATGTCACCATATTATAAAATTGATTATTAACAAGTTGACCCTGAAGTTGACCAGGGTAAAAGGAGTGGCTGGACATATTTCTTCTGGATGCAAAGCTCTGGCTTTTTGATCCGAATAGCAATTGCCTCAGCCGTCTGTAGTATTCTCAGTCTGATGGAATTAGGTTGACTGCTGTGAACATGATATATTACTGTGAAAGATTACTCAATGTTGGCTCTATGTCCCGTCTGAACTAAGTGGGCTAAAATAGAGCTGTTGACCGTTTTGACTACACCTTTGCTTAACCACACTGGGAGGTGCTCACAAGCCCGAGTATACAAATTCCTAGAACATCTGCCTATGTAACTTGCCCCACAGGAGCAGTCGAATTGATAGATACAGAACGAAGTGGCTAGTCTAGGCAATTTGTCTTTCAACATCGGTGTGATCATTGGACATGTGGAAACATTAGTTGTAGTTTACATGCATTAAAAGTCCTTTGGATTGATCTTCGTAACTTCAGTCTTAGCATCTCACTAGGTGCATTGTCTCTGAATTGTAGGCGTATATACAGAGGCTTTTTATTTACAGATAGACATTCTTTATACTCTCTTTGGTTGGCTATGTTTTTATTTATAAATTTCTCCGGGTATCCGTTTTCTTATTGTCTTGACTCTATGGTGTAATATCTTAATCAGGTTCCTTTTGTACTGTAGAGAAACAAAACTAAGAAAATTTGTATACTGACCCGTCCACGATGTTTTCCTGTTTATGTTTCTCCTTAATAAACCATCTTTTCTCCTTGTATGTAGAACATCTAGAAAAGCTATTCTACCTTCACTTTCTTCCTAACAAGTGAATTTTATAGACGGATGAGCTTTATTGAATAGCTGAAGTGTTTCCATTAAGTCAGTATAGTCGTTACATAGGATGAACTTGTCATCCATATATCGGCAGTAAATTGAAAACTTTTCAATCTGTTGTGCCAGTGGGCCGTTTTCTAGTTTCGCGAGAAAAATATCAGCCCACATGGGACCTAGGTGTGAACCCATCGCGACACCGTCTATTTGTCTGTAGATTTCACCATTGAATTCGAAATGTACATTCAAAATAAATTCTTTGATGGTCTCCACAGAGATTGTGGTTACTACTTCTTGTTCTCTTAGGTGTTCATAAATATATTCCAGTCTCTGAGTGGGACATTTGTGAACAATGACGTTACGTCAAAGGACATCATCTTTAGACCTTTCGTGTTTATGTTTTTAATCTTCTCGACGAATTGGAATACATCCTTAATACTGTGCTTTACTGGTTGTTTGTGATGTGGTTTTAAAACGGTTACTAACCACATTGCTACCGTATGGTACGGAGAATCCTACATGTCTAGAATTCGTCTCAATGGGATATCCGGTTTATGTACCTTCGGTAGTCCGTATAACCTAGGTAAATTAGTACTTGTCGGCTTGATTGATTCATATATGTCCGGTGATATTGTCTGTTGATCTCTGAGCTTTTTTAAAGATATGGTCAGTTCATTTTCTATCTTATTATTGACATCTTTTCGGTTACCTAGTTTCTGAAATTTTTGGTGATCATTCAAGATGTTACTCATCTTGTCAATGTAGTCTTTTCTATCAAATAGAACAGTTCCTGTTGCTTTATCAGGTTTTGTGACAATCAGATTCCCGTCATTAATAAGTTCACTGATAGCCTTCTTATGTTTTTTAGTCGAAATACTTCTGTAGTTATATCTACTATTCTTAAACTGATAGCAACATTCAACGATGCTGGCTTTGAAGCGTTCAAGTTCCAAATCCGAAGTTAGGACTAGATCGGAAACAAAGGCATTATACACGACCCTGAGAGAAAACGGATACCCGGAGAAATTTATAAATAAAAACATAGCCAACCAAAGAGAGTATAAAGAATGTCTATCTGTAAATAAAAAGCCTCTGTATATACGCCTACAATTCAGAGACAATGCACCTAGTGAGATGCTAAGACTGAAGTTACGAAGATCAATCCAAAGGACTTTTAATGCATGTAAACTACAACTAATGTTTCCACATGTCCAATGATCACACCGATGTTGAAAGACAAATTGCCTAGACTAGCCACTTCGTTCTGTATCTATCAATTCGACTGCTCCTGTGGGGCAAGTTACATAGGCAGATGTTCTAGGAATTTGTATACTCGGGCTTGTGAGCACCTCCCAGTGTGGTTAAGCAAAGGTGTAGTCAAAACGGTCAACAGCTCTATTTTAGCCCACTTAGTTCAGACGGGACATAGAGCCAACATTGAGTAATCTTTCACAGTAATATATCATGTTCACAGCAGTCAACCTAATTCCATCAGACTGAGAATACTACAGACGGCTGAGGCAATTGCTATTCGGATCAAAAAGCCAGAGCTTTGCATCCAGAAGAAATATGTCCAGCCACTCCTTTTACCCTGGTCAACTTCAGGGTCAACTTGTTAATAATCAATTTTATAATATGGTGACATCAATCTGATTAATGCTCATTTTTATATCCTAAACTTATTTTATCTACACATCTTACCAGTCATTATTATTATTATTATCATTATTATTATTATTAATATTAATATTATTATTATTATTATTATTATTATTATTATCACACTTGCTAACCTTTTAGAGAAATTTATTCAGCATCCACCCCTATTTACTATATCTGACCTAATTCATATTATTCTACATATTACGTAATTTCTGATTTGTAATCCCATTGTTCTCTATCTCACCCCCATATCAACTATATATATATTCTGATCATTTATCTTACGATTTTATTTCACTTATAAACGGATTCAAGTTAACACTTCATATTAGTCAGCTCCAACATTGACGATTCAATTTGATTTTATATGACAAACAACATTCCTTGATTCACATATTACAGTTTCTTAAATGATATACTCTGCCTTAAACTTGGTCAATCTTCTTTTATGGATTATTAATTTGGATTTGATCATTGTAGAACGTGATGAGATATTATTGAAAAGAATATACTTCGTTCATATAATTGTGTTTTAATGAATAATGGTTATTTGAAGTTCATAAACTGCTGGAATGGTTGCAATACGATCAAACCTACGACGCTTCTGACACCCAAAAAGCGAGTTTATTTTATGTAACCATTCAGGGACAACTCAAATAGTCTCATGTTGAAACGGAGAATGAAATTAGCTATCGACAGGATATTTTATGCAGCTCAACTTGTCTTTCACTTAGTATTGTTTGTTTGAATCTTCCCATCGATGTGTTAGGACTGCAACTGGTCAGTCTCTAATTGGCATATGTGCATACTGTGCGTATTGCCTCGATATAGCCTTGATTCACAAGCATGATAAGCAAAGATGGATAGTGGCTAGCTGTGGAATCCAGTTTGGTACGTGTTTCGTTGTATTTGGGACTTACCAGCTGGATGTACCTGCGTCTCAGAGTTGATGGAAAGATGGGAAGATTCAAACAAACAATACTAAGTGAATTTAAACTTCACCCCATCGCACAAGCAAGTGGCTATCAGGACTCAGTGGCTGAGTGGATAACGCGATGGCGTTTGAAGTGAGGGTACTGGGTTCGAGCCCCAGAGTGAACATCAACTCTGAGATGCAGGTACATCCAGCTGACGAGTCCCAAATAGGACGAAACGCGCGTCCTGGATTCCACTGCTGGCCACTATCCATCTTTGCTTATCAACTTGTCTTTATTGAAAAGACAAGTTCTATGTTTCACGAAAAACCCAAACAGCTCATAAGAGGTTGTGTCACATCCCATTGTGTCTATCATTTTACATGTATTTCGGAAACACGTACATAGGGTAGAGCAATGGTTATCTGAAATTAAGGGTGGCGGAACACATACCTGAATGGCTGCAGAAACAAATGAATGCTAATGGTCAAATAAGGTCACAGGATAGACAGACATCTTCCTCCATTGCGAAATATTTGGTTAAAACTGGTCCTAAGGTTGACAAAAGCCTTCAAGGACATATACTAAGGTTTATTGAAGCCTCGGCTATACGGAAATCGAAGCCCCCTTTATGTGTTCAAAAACAATATGTTCTTATGCTCAACCTACCCTGGTAATGCTGATTTTTTATCCGAAGTGGTCATCACATTGTTTTTGTGTACTTTTTTTCTTTCTTTGTTACGGCTTACCTTACCTGTCTAGTTGACATTTTAATTTTCACATAAAAATGTCTTAGCATATGTGACCAGATGGTTCGAAATGTATTGCACAAATACATCACATAATCACAATTGATTGATCACTGGGTGGTGATCAATGTCATGCGTGTCATTCCATCTTAGTGCTGATCGAATGCTATCGATCAAGTTGCAGTGTGTCCACCAGTCTAGGTGGCTCGACACTGCGTGCACTATATATATTAAGGTAAGATGGTGGTTGGAGGTGGTCAACAGGAAACCCTGGATCCGGGTTTCGTGCTACTTGGTACTCGTCAGCAAGGTGTACCTGTAATCTTGAGGGAACTGATGCTCCCTGACGGATTCGATCCCGTGTCACTCAGCTTCACAGTCAGAGACGTTACCACTGAGCTGTTCGGGATGCGACCAAACTCCTGTAGGACTGAGATGCAATCACAATTGATTGATCACTGGGTGGTGATCAATGTCATGCGTGTCAAGTCAGTCAGGGAGCATTATTTCCCTCAAGATTACAGGTACACCTTGCTGACGAGTACCAAGTAGCACGAAACCCGGATCCAGGGTTTCCTGTTGACCACCTCCAACCACCATCTTAACTTAAAATACATTACATAATTCTGATAAACTTCGTCTTCTCCTTGCTTTATCGTAAGATTTCATTGTTAGATTTAGGGTGTCAACGTGTTTTATGATTTTTCGTAATGACGAGATACCATAATTGAGTTTAATACTATATAATTCTCAAAAACTGTTTACGTTTTTTAAGAGAATGTTATCTAAAGTCTATCAAACTGTAGATATACAGATTTCATATGATTGATTCAAAAATTAAGCTAAAGTATTGTTTACTGATTATTTCGATTTTTCGAGCAACCGTTTTGAACTGAAGAAAACTGTCTCTATGTTAGGTATAAAAATTACTTGTTGATCAAGTAAGTAATATCAGTTACTACCATGAAATTTAATAAAATAATATCTGCCAACATAAATGTGGTTTTAAAGACGTAAACATTTCAGAGAAAATGTTAGTTGATCAGTAACTGCTACTTCTAGGTGCAAATGGATTGGTATATACTCACCATCATTCATTGTGTATCTTAGGTGCTAAAAACTTTTAAAATGCTATTCTTCGTCGACTCCTGATATTTGACTAAGAAAAATTATTATTCAGCTGAAGTGTTGCATTTCACTTACAGTTTAAACCAATCTAAAAACTCAACCGAGAAAAAGAATGATTTATGCTGATTGGTTCAATAGTAATATAAATTTTTCAATAGCACAATCAAAAAATACTTTACGATATACGAAAACATGAAACAGGCATTATTTAACACCTTCAGCTAAAAGACTCTAAAATAATGATGTTTAGTTAGGTTATTACTTTTCAATAGTTATTTTGTATTATCTTAAACATAGTATATCCAAAGATTAGTCCCAATCACATCGAGTATTGAGTTGGTTATTATTAGACTACTATTTCAAGATATCTTACGAAAACAGAGAAAATTGACATTTATTTCCTGCTTACCTCTATCTAGAAATTCATAAAATCCTATAACTTTTTGCTTTTCTTTAGTGATTTCATCCAATTCAATAATCATGACACGTCCATATGAATGGAAATCATGAACAGGGAGTTGATTTAAGTGTTGGCCGCATAATTCATAATCCGGTTGATCATTATTCATCAGTTCTGCTCGTTCTAACTGATGATAAACTTTAAATTGTGTAGTACATCTAGTGAGGTGAAGATCAAGGAAATAGAATTAACAGACTTTGAAGTTTCACGTCACCTACTGACTTTTTTCAAATAACCATCAAAAAACAGAAGTCATCGGGAGGCGGACTCGTTTTTATGTATAAGAATTCGCAGTAATGGGAATCAACAAGCCAACCAGAAACCGAACACATGACTTTCAGATCCAGTGATGTGTTACATTTGGAGGCACCAGTCAATATGGATTTATATATCTAAACTGATTGGATTAGTTTTCACAAATCCATTTTATAATTATTCATTAAACCATGTTTATTCACACCATTATATGACTTAAATTACGGATGTTCAGAAATCGGTTCTTAATGGCCTATGCCCACATCATGAAAGGAAGAACTGATTTTTTCAACCCTACTTAGTTAACGTAAATTAGATATAATAAACTAATTACATACCTGAACAGGTATACTCCGTAAAAAAAACAAGTTTTTCTTTAGCTTTCTTAAAATAGGTCTTCGTCTTTCAGAAAGGAATTCTTGATGGACGGCATTGAACATATTTATACTTATAGTCAATCTGGAGCCAATGTCAGTCAAAATCCGCGGTAAAGGGATACAGTTAGGCGTATTGTTAGCTAATTTACCTTGTAAAAAAACACCACTTAAAATGCTAAACAGAGAAAGTCAAGTAAAACTTTTAAAACTTTGTTCTGAGAGTTGTGAGGTCTTCGCACAGAAAAGTTACCAAGTCTCTTGATGAATGCCAAAATTCTTAGGAAGCTACAAATATGAGCCTTTTTCTGACAACCAGAGTAAAAGGCAATATAGGTACATGTGCCAAACCTGTAGGGTGTTTTGTGTAGCTCAAGAAACAAGAAAACGCAATCTGGTCGTGCATAGAACAAGTGGAGAAAATTTGAGCATTGTTATATGAGACCTGAAATTCAGGTTTGAGATAGACAGCAGAAGGTATGAAAGCATCATGTAGCGAAATACATTGGGAGAAAGAAAAAAGAATGACTAGGGACTGGTAGATCTATGTGCAACCAACAACCTGGCTATAGAAGCCACGATTTTCCACTAACACATGCACAATGCTAAATATGTTTCCCCGTACCATCTATAGGAAAGCAGATCAATCAAACATTAATTCGTGGAAAATTCAAAAGGTCCAGTTAAGACGTAAGAACATAAAGAAAAGCTACCATAAGTTTGGATCATGCAACATTCAACAAAAGCCGAACGAAAACTGAGAAAACCGAAGGCAATTAGAGCAGGAAAAAGGAAATATGTGTAAAACCTGATAAACGTAGGGATATGGTAATACGAGAGAACTATGATATAAGCAGGAAGCTTGCTAGGAAATATAGTAGAACAGAGCGAGTATTACGGGGCAAAGAAAGAAAACCAAAAATTGAGGTCCAAGAGCAAAAGAACTACTGGTTAAACCAGTATAAAGGACTCCTGAACAGACAAGCCTCTCTGAAACTACCTGATATAGAAAAGAGAGACACAGATCTCTCAACAAATTTTACCTCGCCAACAGATATAGTAATTGGAAAGACCATTAGATAAACCAGAAATGGCGAATGAGCAGGACCAGACAGCACACTAGCTAATCCACTGAAGACAAGTAAAAGTACGAATGTAGTATCGTTTACTATTACTGCCTCCATCAACACTAAGCGAAATTTAGCCTCAGCTTCGATACTATCTAAAAGCATCTTGTAGTAGCTCACGTACATTTGAGTTTGTCCACATTTAATTTGGTTACTCTTTTTTGGTAACCTATTTAACGGACAAAGTCATTCGTACAATAACAACTTATCTATACTATTGTATCTTTATCATTGCTACACTTGCATGAATATACACGCTTGAGCATTGCTTACCGCCTACTCACATATTCATCCTGCTAATTTTAGTATTAGTCACTTAAATGATCCGATGATTCAGTCATTTTCCTATGTGCATATACATGTACATTTTAATCCTATTCATTCTACTCACACGTTCACTCGTTTGCTTTTCGACATTAGCCCTTCATTCTTGCTTTGTGTACCTGTGGTTTCGAAGATCTGTGCGTGGTGTAATAATAAACGCGATCAACACTTCGTACTCGTCTTCTGATTTATACACCATTGAGGATATTATCTAGTAACAGTTATCAGGACGAACTGTATACGAAGTGTAAGGATTATATTCGAAAACCAACCACAACAGAATTGGTGATTCCCGGTGTGCGAATGCAATACAGCTTTCTACAATTCTATCGAAATACCTAATCCATCTAGTTACGAATAAATATGGTGGATTATAATTACTATTGTGGATTACCAATATTATTATTATTATTATTATTATTATTATTATTATTATTATTATTATTATTATTATTATTATTAGCATATTTTCATTACATGATAATTATTTCACAAACATTGCTGAACATATTTTGATAATATTAACAACCACAAGTAACAGCAAACATACAATTGTTCTACTGTTGCGGTCTAGCAAGTTTGTTCCGTGTTATAAAAACTTATCATTTGTTATTAGCATTATTACTGTCTATCTAATTCCCTTCACTTACATATAAGTTAATTTATTGTATACATTGTATACATTTATTGTATATATATATATAACAGTAACAGGCGTAAGTAAGTAACATTTCGAGTACCATAAATCTGAGTAGCTTAAATAATGCTGTTTTTTCACTGGACAAATCACGTTTAAGATAAACCTTAGTTTTTTTTAAAACTTAGCTTACTTATTACTTCCAGTTTTTCGTATTTTCATTGGCAGACTGAATTCCAGTAAACGTACATGTACGATCTCTTTCAAATCACCAACGAATGTATAAATTATGCAGTTGGATGTTGTATTCCATGATAAATTTAAATGTAAGTTTGTTATGAATTCAAATGAGCCATTACTTAAGCCAGAGCTTTGAAATAAATGACACAAACAACCTAGAAGTTGGAAATGCATTAGGCTTTAGAAAACTTGGAATTTAAGTATATTGATCATGTAAAGATTATTTCATGTAAAGGTGTCATTGCCAAGGTTTGACTTGACAATATCAAATAAACTGAGCAGAAACAGATTACATTAACCCCAGTTTAAATAGTACAAAAGAACAAAGTGAGAATATTTGGTGCGATCAATCAAAAACAGGTCTGACCAAATCAATTTTATATAATTCCGATCACAGTGATTTATACGAGGCATTATTGTATATTTGTGTGTATATATGGTAAAGGATGAGGAAACGTGACATTTGTGGTGCGAAACCATAGAGTTTAATTTGTATGTATGATAATGGTGTGAAATGTGGATAGAATCAGACATGGTATCACGGATAGATGGTGCCAGTCGGATGGATAGTGAGGCCTTCTGTTCTATTACTTAATCCTACTGCCCTCAAATCACCGTGACCGGAATGATATGAAATTAAGTTGGTCAGACCTGTTTTTGATTGATCGCACCAAATATTCTCGCTTTGTTCCTTTGTATTATTTAAACTGGGGTTAATGTAATCTGTTTGTTTGTTTACTGGAGAAGTGGCTCACACTGAGTCATCAAACGTCAGAGAATTTAAAAACTTAATTTTTCTACTCATTGGGATATAGCAAATATATTACTTTTATTAACATTTCATGTATAGTTAGTATTCGTGACAGATTAGTCTTTGGGGACCTTGAAAGCCGGAGAGTACTGAATGACTATTTCGTCTGGATATGGATCTGTATCAGTGAGCACCAACTAACTCGCAAGAGATCGAACCGAAAATCTTCAGATTTAACGCCTAAAAACTACAATTACTTCCAGATGATATCCTTAAGTTCCGGTGAAAAGACAATAACAGTGTAGTCCTGGCTTGTCAGTAGTGAAACAATCGTTATCAGTGATTTTAGATGATCATCGAATTCACAACACAAAGTGATTGAACTTGAAAATAAGAATAATTTACCATGACCAATCGGTTTTATTTTCTAAGCCACAACCGCGATACTTGAAGTTACTGGGTTCGATCTGTCGTGAAGTCATTCTGGTGATTCCCGTCGTCCTACACTAGAACTAAATAACTGTTCAGTGTTCACTGATTTTCAGTGGGACACCAAATGAAATGAATATATGACTAATACCACGTACAAAAGTTGAAACCGTTAACTTTGAAATTAGAATTCAAAAAAGTATGGAAGTCCGTTTTCTGTAGATAAATATCTGAAAATTACGACCAAATAAAGACAGTCTCTATTCACAATTGATTGATCACTGGGTGGTGATCAATGTCATGCGTGTCATTCCATCTTAGTGCTGATCGAATGCTATCGATCAAGTTGCAGTGTGTCCACCAGTCTAGGTGGCTCGACACTGCGTGCACTATATATATTAAGGTAAGATGGTGGTTGGAGGTGGTCAACAGGAAACCCTGGATCCGGGTTTCGTGCTACTTGGTACTCGTCAGCAAGGTGTACCTGTAATCTTGAGGGAACTGATGCTCCCTGACGGATTCGATCCCGTGTCACTCAGCTTCACAGTCAGAGACTTTACCACTGACTTGACACGCATGACATTGATCACCACCCAGTGATCAATCAATTGTGATTGCATCTCAGTCCTACAGGAGTTTGGTCGCATCCCGAACAGCTCAGTGGTAACGTCTCTGACTGTGAAGCTGAGTGACACGGGATCGAATCCGTCAGGGAGCATCAGTTCCCTCAAGATTACAGGTACACCTTGCTGACGAGTACCAAGTAGCACGAAACCCGGATCCAGGGTTTCCTGTTGACCACCTCCAACCACTATCTTACAGTCTCTATTATTCAGAGTCATTAATAGAGTGAGAGAACTTTCAAAGAATTCAAATTTGTAGTAAAAACTCTGTGATCCTTAATTTTTTATCGTTTTAATGTGAAGCACATCTGCTACTAATGACTGAATTCAGTATGATTAAGTTTGCCCATCTGTTCTTCTTGTAATTATACACATATGCATTGCTATGTTTAAAGCGATTACGAATTCACCTAGTCTGCGAATGGAACAAAGACTTGTGACCAAAGACCAATTAGCTAGCTATTCTGATGAGTCCCAGCCTTCTAAGCAGAGAGAGTACAAGTTTGAACGGTGAAAAATATATTCGACAAGCAGCCAGAAGCACAAGCCATCCAACAGGCACAAATTAAATGTATATATGCAACAGAAAACTGTCCTTGGGAAGCGGTACAAAATAGCATACTAAAAGACACAACGGACCATTAACATTTAGGATTTTCTCAAGTAGGAAATACGACATAAAGGTGAAAAAGGCGCTTTTGGCGCGGAAACAAAGAAATTCAAAATTTCAAAATAAAACTACAAAGTTAAGGTATTTACCAAGTGAGTCTCGGGGATCTAACGTCCCCAACATGCATTATTAGTTTTTCAGCCGTCGTTAATTTTAAATTTTGATCTGAAGTTAATATTTGTTATTCTTTACTATATATGTGGTAATGTTATTCATGTAACCGTACCTTTTTTGAAATATAGAAATTACCTCTACAATCTCGTCTTCTTTCTCTTCACCTGCACATTTTTGTCAGAGTTTTAGTGTTGTTGTGTGTTAATCCCAACCTTATAAAGGTTATTTAAACCCCTCTCATATTAGAATAAGCTCCTTATCTTCCCTACTATTGAAATAAATTAACATCACAACTAGAACTTTATGATTGTTGTGCTTTGAAGAATAATTGATACATTTTGAGTGTCAACTCAGCGATCTTAATTTATCGTGTTTGGTGTGAACCCTGAAGCGTCTGAGCTTGATACTTAACGGCGTCGTAAATGTTCATTGTCTAGGAATAATGAATTAGTATCGAAACTGTGTTCGAGATTTTCTGATTTAACAAAAAAGGCATTCCGGAAGCATGTGAAGGACTTCTAGCCTTCGATGTAATTTTATATACTGATTCTTGAGCAACTAAGAAGACAATTATTCAACTGAAATTTAAGGACACAACCTGTAAACATTTAGGAAACTTGACAAAATAAGCAACAATTTGTAATTCTGATCAATTGGATTGGTATAATACATACATTGACCACTTAAATATACCGAAATTTATCAGCTGTGAGGATAGATTGAATATATTTTGGTCGATTGTAATATGATGTGGGATTTTCAGGAACAACTTAACCATAAAAGTTCTGAATAAATGAAATAATAGAGTTGGTTTTAGTCTTGGATCAGTTACAACAGAAGAACAATAGGAAACCAGATTGTACTGGACAGATATTTCATCGAAGTATAGGACTCCTCAAGAGTGTATACCGATGATCATGCCAGGACTTTTAGACCTTATGACAAGCGCTTAACATTTAGATTACTAAAATGGAGCCTCCTATCCCCCCTTCTTCATTTAAGCTCATTATCCATTTCGCCTTACGTCATCCAGAATCGTATCAAGTTACTTTTTTACTCCTGACATGAATGAACCTCAACTATCAGTACTTCTCAATAGAACTTTGGGGATTCCTCTTGAAACCAGTCAGCAGGGATCTAATAATTACAAGGATAATAATTTAGAAATACATTTTTACCTTTGGTAACACTGTAATTATATTGATCTGATATACATTCTTGAACTGAAGGCAACCTTGTGGGTATGTCTGAACGTTGTTGATGATGACGTTGACCAATTATATGTTCATATTTCTGTGAAAATTTGAAATCAGTTCGCTGAAAACTATTCATTTTTAAATATTCTGATGAATGGTTTATATTTTCATATAGATGTAATCTATTCGTAGTTACAAATGATGAGATTAATACTATAAATGGAAAAATAATTAATTTAAAACGAAAATGTTATTTTCATATATTTTGAACATATATGAATAGTGAATAAACTATAAGCAAGTGTTATGATTTTCTTATAAGTACTTTTTAGAGCTGATGTATTTAATCTTAACGTACGTTATCAGGATCATCGATAAACAAGGAGGATTTGATGTCGATACAAAAGAACGAATTGGCATGGAAACGCCATCATCCTTCAAATGAGAAATATCTGGAACTCAAAATAATCGTCATACAACATCACAATCCGAGTTTTTAACAATAATGTTAAAATGGTTTTATTTTGGATGCAGCTGAAACCTGAAAAACTTCCACCATGAACGATAGAGTATTAATAAACAACTGCTTACACAATATACTTCAGATTCACTGACTGGAGACCACAAACAACGACCTGCTCTATTAGATGAGAAAGTAGTTATCAGTTGATGATTGTATAAGAAAAGGCTTTGGGTTGGATAGGACGTACTTGGATTAATCCACTAACCTCCACTACAAGCGAACCCTAACTTGGAATTCTCAATACAAAAGCAAAAGGGGCAGAAAAAACACATGGTGCAGGTAGTTGAGGAGACAGACATGTAAACGATGAACACCATTTAGCAATAGCAGGTTTAATTATATAGTATTTTTCTAAATATCGTGATATTTGTTAGTGTCAGTATACTGTTAGTGTTATTATTAATAATAATAATCAGTGGCCAGCTTTATCAAGTAATTGCAATGATTTTAATACCGATTCGTGATTAATCAGTGTAAAATGCTTATTTTTAGCAATAATAACCCTAAAACATTATTATTGATTTGGTAAACGTTAATTTTAGAAAAATAGTCATTATATTTATCATTTTCTTGTCATCCACAGGGATGCCTTGTTCTTCATCGTGACAATAGAACTAAAAAAATTAATTTCAATTATGTAATTTTAATTGAAATAAAATTTGTAATTTTATCTTGTTGACAGGAGGAAAACAACTTGTTTTCAAAAGAATTTTCAGTGATTGACATCTAACTGTTTGTGAAAAGGCTAATAATAATTTAATACAGTGGATCTTCAATCAAAATCTGAAGTTAGTTCTTATTACATAATGAACTCAACGATCAGTTAATTGTTTCGTTGTATTATGAGACTCATAAGTCAAATGCACACATGATTTTAAATTCAATTAAACTCAGGACCTTCGATTTTATCTTACTCTTATTTCTAAATGATGCAGAACTATAAATAATTTTCATGTATTGTTCCCATTGATGTCCAGTTTTTGGATTTATTTCCATAAATCCTGTGGAAAAGCCGTAATAATTAGAGTTCATCAAGCGGAAAGTGAACAGGTTTCAAATTAGTAACCGAATAGTATCGTGAAAGTCTTGAGACAAATTTGTCAAATTAGAGCATTCTTCTGAACAGTACTTAACTATGGTGAACCGGTTATCTAATATCCTGTATTTTTAATTTATTCTATTACTGACATCTGTGTGTGACATAATGAGCTTGCCTGAGTAATTGTACTTATGAATACCCCCAAAATTCCCTGGTACGGCCGAAAGTGAGGAGGGCCCGCCCTCCCTCTCGGAATACTCTCACACAGCCACGCGTATACAGCCTCTGCCAGGGAAGTCCTACTCACTGCCTCCTCGTGGCATCGGTGTTGTTTACGAAATTGAGAGGACGGAAAGCGAATGTCCGGCGCTTTAACCGGGTTGGTGGAAAGTCCACTTAGGGGAGTTGGAAAACCCTGACTCCAAACCAATGGTGCACATGGGCTCCAGTACCTTGAGGGAAAAAATGGCGTATGAACCAATCGCCGGTCACCGGCTACCATAGGACTGTATCTCCTGACGTTGCTCCACTGCCATGTGGATCAGATCTTTAGGTCAAAGGCTCCGGGTATGGCCACCTAAGAAAACTACCTGCTTCAGTTTGGGCACCTGGACAGTATCACATCCCTCACAAAAATACAATGAAATGACGCTATTTACTGAAAATACTATTCACGCTCCGATTAAAAGTTAGACAATTCACATTATTATTATTATTATTATTATTATTATTATTATTATTATTATTATTATTATTATTATTATTATTATTATTATTATTATTGATCACATCAATCATTCACTCCCTTTTATCCCCACATGCAACATTCAAACTGTCTTCCTTCAACGTTCGCACACTAATGCAGATCGGACAACAGATAGGGCTGACGATCTCTTTAAAAAGTCTTAATGTCGATGTTTGTTGTGTATCCGAGACCCGTATTCAAAACTCTAGTGAAGTACTACAAATTCGCTCTCCATCTGTCGCTTCAAAATGTTTGTTTTACGTGCGTTTATCCGGGGACGCAGTAGCATCTTATTGTGGTCTTGCTGGTGTTGTTGTCACACTAAGCGCTAGAGCTGAGGCAGCACTAATCGATGGGATCACCATTAACAGACCGCTATATGCTGTTAGATTAGAAAGTTTTATCAAAGTGGGAAACGGTGTCTTTTCGTCATCTCCGCCTATGCCCCGACAGATTGCAGCCTGGATGCAATCAAGGATGAATTCTATCACCAGTTAACTGTTCTTCTCCAGAAAGTGCGTTTGACATATATTGTACTACTAGCCGGTGACTTGAATGCACAGGTCGGGCGTCTAGGCACAGAAGAGAGTCGTTTAGGTGGTCGATAGGGACTTGTTGGTTGCAGGACAGATAACTGGGACCGTCTACTGTAACTAAGCACAGACTACAAACTGTTTCTGGCTAGCTCTAACTTCCGGCAACGTCATCGCCGATTTGCCACCTGGCGTCATCCCTCTGCATCTCAAGCCTGTGTGGTTGTGTACACGACTGCTGCTTCTTTTGGAGTACCGATCTGGACTCTGATCATGCCTTGGTCTGCGCCAATCTTACCTTAATTTTCAGTGGCCAACGAATTGACCGCCATCAACGGATCGATGTTAGTGAACTGGCTGCAACTTCTGTATCGAAGCGAGCTAGCTTCTAGGCTAGCTACCATCCCACCGAAAGTATAAATGAGCATTGGTTGCAACTGCATGACTCCATGAAAATGGCGAGTAAAGTCGCTTGCGGCTTCGCGAAATGTCCAGCTTATAAGCACTGGGTTTCTTCTGGCTCCTTACAATTAATGGAAGCCCGTCGGTCTACTCCGGGTGACCGTGAGTTTGACCACAAACGAAGGCTGTTACGTAATGAAATTGGGCAAAGCTTGCGCAAGGACCGAGAAGCCTGGTGGTCGGACCGTGCTAATGAGCTGGAAGCAGCGACTGCATCTGGTAACTGCCGAAAGCTCTTCCAACTCATCCGAGCCACTGGCAGCAAGAAGTCTGGTGTGAGTGAAACAATCTGTAAAAATGACGGGACGCCAATCACTAACATCTATCGACGTCTTGGACGTTGGGCGGAATTTTTCGAAGGGCAGTTCAACTGGCCTGCTGCTCCGGCAACATCAACCAGTTTGTCCGGCCCCCCATGACCGGTGACGACTGATCCACCAAACGAGGCGGAAGTCCGCAAGGAACTCCAACTATTGAAACGCTACAAATCACCAGGCCCAGATGACTTACCTCCAGCTCTTTTTAAAGATGGTGGTGACTTTCTGACTAAGGAACTGACGGTGTTGTTTGAAAATGTTTGGGAGCTAGAAAGTGTTCCAACATCATGGAATGAGTCAATAGTCGTCCCTATCTTTAAAAAGGGTTCACGTTGTTCCTGTAACAACTATCGGGGGATAAGTCTTCTTTCGATTGCGTCCAAACTATTGGCTTCTGTCATTCTTCGTAGGTTGTTTAAAACCAGAGAACGGTTGACTCGCGAGGAGCAGGCTGGTTTTTGTTCTGGTCGAGGATGCATTGATCACATCTTCACCCTCCGCCAAATGTTAGAACACTGTCATAATTATCACAGGCCAACAATCGTAGTGTTTCTTGATATCAGGGCTGCCTTCGATTCGTTGGACAGGACTGTTCTCTGGGATTGTCTATTGAAGAAGGGTGTGCCTGAGAAGTTCATTAACATCTTAAAGGCCCTGTATACGAACACCTCAGGCAGAGTGAGGGCATACAACCACCTTTCTCCTTTGTTCCATTCAAGCAGTTGGGTCAGGCAGGTGTTGAGTCGGCTTCCGGAGAACTCCAACGGAGCCTCCAGAGGCTAATAAAGAGCCCCAGCCATTCAGAATACGATGGAACATTCTAGAGTTCCAACGTGGCGTGATACTATTGGTCGGTATCAAAATATGTCGTTAATGGATTGGCTAACATCTATAAATACCTATGATTTTCTGTAACAAGATTGAACCTTGCAGTAAAGTATTTCTCTCATACTCGTGTCTTCTCTCTGGTGTTCAAGTCGCTGAATAGTTCTAGCCTGGGGTTATCAGAATAGCTTAGGATCTGAATATAGCGTTCAACTTACAAGACATATCAGTGGCGACGGGAAAATGACAATGAATATTTCTCTGGAGCAATTAGAAGCCTATATGGTGCGTCAAGAAAAGAGGTCTGAAGAGTCTCAAATTAGAATCATGGAAACTCTGATGCAGAAATTCTGCCTGTCCGAGAGAAATCCTGCTTCTGGTGAATCACAAGTTTCACATACTGATTCAGTCATTAATGCCATACATGAATTTAATTTTGATGGTGTAGCAGGTATAACTTTTGAGTCGTGGTTTAAGAAGTATGAAGATTTGTTCTATATTGATCTTCGCAACCTAGATGACGCTTCTAAAGTCAGAATACTTCTGAGAAAACTTGGGACTGTGGAACATGGACGCTACAGCAACTTCATTCTTCCGAAGAACCCACGAGATTTTAGTTTTGATGAAACAGTCAAAACCCTGTCCCAAATCTTCGGAGAACAATCATCTCTATTTAATATCCATTATCAGTGCTTAAAGTTAACGAAAGAACCAGGAGATGATTGGGTGAGACATGCAGGAACTGTGAACCGTCAATATGAGAGGTTCAAATTGTCGTCCATGTCTGAGGACCAGTTTAAATGCTTAGTATTTATCTGCAGCCTGTGTTCACCTGAGGATGCTGATATCCGAATCAGAATCCTAAGCAAACTTGAACATTGCCCTAACATGACCTTGCAGGAAGTAACTACCGAGTGCCAAAGGTTAGTGAACTTGAAGCATGATACCTCAATGGTAGAAAACGGTAACTGTTTCCATAATGTCAATGCAGTCAAAAGAAAATCCTTGCAAGGTTCCAGCATGCGTAATTATCGTAATGCCCAAGGCATGCAATCCGCAATTAATCAGTTGGCAATCAGTGTCAGCAGGCACGGTATGTACTTTGCACATTCGAAGTGCAAAGTACTTCTACAAGACTGGCACGATTCTAATCCTATACTCACTCTGGATGGTGAGCAGAATGGAGTAGTTGAGAAGTTCGTGTATCTAGGTAGTTACATAAGTGCTGGTGGTGGCGTGAGTGTTGAGATTGATTCATGTATAGTGAAAGCCAGATCGGCTTATGCCAATCTGGACCATCTTTGGCGCCTTCGTGATACTAGTCTGACTGTAAAAGGTCGGATCTACAACGCGTCGGTGAGAGCAGTTTTGCTCTATGCTTGTGAAACCTGACCTCTCCGAGTTGAGGATGTTAGACGACTCTCTGTGTTCGATCATCGTTGTCTCCGAAGTATTGCTGACATCCAGCGGCAACACCATGTTAGTAATGCAGAGGTTCTACATCGTGTGTTTGGGTGCAGAGACGATAATCCAATTGGTGTCACCATTTTGAAACATCGACTTCGGTGGCTTGGACATGTTTTACGAATGTCGACCCAGAGAATTCCTCGCCGTTCATTATTTTCCAGCAACGGAACTGGTTAGAAAAAGCGGAGAGGAGGTCAGTGTATGACATGGTGTCGTGGTATGAAAGAAAGCTGCAAAGGACTGGCTTCTGTTGGTCCTTCACGACTCCCTGGCTGGGGTCCGAGAGATGGTGCAACACAGTGGCTAGAGACGTTATCAGATTTGGCTCAGAATAGAAGCCAGTGGCGATATTGCTGTAACCTTCTCATACTTCCTACATCAAAAGTGGTTGTAACTTCCCTAACTGAAAGAATTCTTTCCAGTTATACGTTTCCGTCTCCCCCATTATTATTATTATTATTATTATTATTACACTAACATACACTAATCTGTAGTTGTTATTGTTCTTTTCTTTCTTCTCTTATTTTCTCATACTCACCCTACCCCTTTTTCTCTTCCCATTCTCATTGTTTTGTGTGGAGCCTATATATCTGGTGCCTCGTTGTACCGATATTTATGTGTTCACATAAAATAAATAATAAATAAAATAAATACTTATGAATATCATCGACCTGATGGAGGCCATATTCTAAGAATCAGTCAGTTGTCGAGAAAATGATTTATGAATTTCATTCTTAATTATCTGGCCACAAAATGTCGATAAATGTAACAATTTCATGATTTGTATTTTTGTGTATAAGGTACTCGTCTACGTACATTCGATTTATTCAGTTGACTAACTATGCTCATTTGCTCTCAGTCTGGTTCTGTTATTTTTGTAATTTTAAATATTTCTTGATTGATCTTCGCGTGAATAAATTGTTTCCATTAATCTATAATAGTTAATGTTTCACTACCTTTCATTGAAGCAATTTTCAATGAACTTACTAAAACTTTTAGACAGAGTTTATAACTGTCGATAACGATTATTGAGTCAATTTTATCTGTAGAATATTTTCGAAATTCGTCCATTTAAAAACTTATTGGGTTTTTGTTCCACTCGCTAACATAAATAGTTTATTATAACATTAAAACACGGTGCATTTTCAGTCACTGACAGTATAATTTTCGTAAGGACTTCAGTAGTTCTGCTTAGTAACTGAAATGAATTCTCACTTGAACAGAAGTTAGCTTGACATAATTTAAAAGAAAAGAAAATCTACAACTAATATTTTATTGAGCTTTTTACAGTGCCTTTTCATACGTCTATGAAATAAGAATTATCATAACTAAAGGTATTTAATGGAAATATGTATTTAACTACATGTAAATTTACAGTACTGTTTACTTTACAAAAAGATGGTCGGTTGTGCTGTGGTGTGGTTTACTTATATCCATATAAGTAGTACATGGTGTTGGTCAGACATAGAATGTATTTTGGCAGAAGACCGATGAGGAAAGAACTGAAACGAAACGCAATCGGTAGAAAAATGCACGAACAATGGAATTAGAGAAGAAACAGTGAAGATTGAGACTATTGGTTGTTAATTTGCAAATTAACTGTCCATTGTATGGTTTTCAGAATTTACTGAGATAGTCTGTAATTTTTGCTTAAATACATTCGATTGTCCCCAACCAGTGTTCTTTTTCACTACGGTGCGAATTTGACGTAAATTTATCGAAATCAAGCATTTTTGTGTAGTGAAAAACCCAGAACAACCGATGTTTACTAAGTTGAGAGCATACGTTAATAAAGGTTTATGTATGATCGCGCGAAGATGATCTCTGAAGTTACTTTTTACTCATTATCAACGTAATATCGAGAAAACTTCGATATGCTTATTGATGATTTAGAGAATAGCTGTAAATTCACAATCACTGTAGGTTTTATATATATATATAGCAATATCAATCCTAGTCTTTTAATTCTCGTAGTTGAAGTATTATATAATTATGAATGACCATACTCTTTTGCATATGAATATTCTTCTGTCTGTCTATACTAGTAACTGCACCTGACTCTATTCACCAATCTGTGTTTGATATTCTATTGTATGGTTACACCGAAATTCAAAGATTACTTTGACGATATTATAGTAGATTGAAAAACTTGGGTAAAATACCGTTGTAAAGTGAACGAATTTCACTCGACTATTTTAACCAGTAACAAAACCTTCTAGAAATAGTGGATGCTTTTCTCAAGCACCTACATTTCGCTTACGCTTTAATCGTACTATGTTATGGCTACTTCAGAAAATGGTAAGAAAACTTAAGAAATTACCAGTTTTGATAGCTCATTTAATTTATTTTATTGCAGTATATTTTAAGTGGATTAAAATCCATCCTGAAAACATGTGTCGTCAAGATCTGACATTACTACTGATAGTCAGAAAGAACTAAACAATTGATTCATCCAAGCTGAAGACACCAATCATGGATACTTACAATTAATTTGAACTAATGACCCTAAATTCTTTGACGCCGGCGAGTACAGTAAGTCAAAACCAAAGTTTTGGTATTCAGCGCTTCACACATGCTAGCTTTAGTGTTATGGAATGACTGTCTATCATCCATTGCCATCAGTGATGTATTATTTCTATTAGTGATACAAAATGAGTAATCTCTACTGATCATATTTTTCATCAGAGCCTCAGAAATCCCTTATGAAGCTAGATCATAGTCACTACTATTACTCCTTCTTCTCCAACTAATCTGTTGGAAAAAAGAAGAAACAAGGTTAAATATACTCTAATAAATTTGAATTCAATTACTTACCAAAACGAATAAAGTTGTCAGTAGTATAAATTAACATGGCAAATTGGATTAATTTGTCTAAATTTGAAAATAACATATCTTCACATTGTAAATACAATAGAGTAAATCAAAAGAAATTGAAATCAATGACTATTTAGTTTAGTGATAAGTAGGAATTGATAATGAACAATAAGTTATGAATGGTAATAAATTAGATTTAACGAACACAAGTACCATGACGATAGTATTCAAAATATCTTTGACGACAAAACAATTTTTAGAGGTGATATTTATGTAATTCTATCATTATTATAAATATCGAATTGATCAATTAATATTACCTATTTAAACAAAAAAAAACACGTTTTTATACTCGGTTATTTATTAATCAAACATAAAAGTTTTTTTAATATCTAAGAATCAATAGATAAGAGCAATATATCATTGTGAAGGGTTTAAGCTATCCCATTTTCGCTATATTAAAATTGAATCTAGCTCGATGTTTATTGGTAAATGTTATGCCCCGATAACAATAGTGAATGGTAACTTTGGGATCCATTTATGGACCAATATTATGCATAGAATTTTTATCATATATTTGCTAAATAATTAAACTACTCATATTCATGTTCCTTTCATTGTGAGCTTTATTTTGACTCTTGGATTATTATTGTACGATTTACCATTCCTGAGTTATACCCAGTCTATTAATTACTGCTCCTCCTATTCATAGCCAAATTTGGCTAACTCTTGTACAAATGTTGTTGTATTGGTACGATGTGGTCAGTCTGTTTGGTATATAAATTCAATATGTTTGAAATGCGATTATTCATACCACAGAGACTGTTATTGGTGTTCTGGACTTAAGTGGCTGGGCTAGGCAGAAAGCAGGACCGATTAGCACTCTAGACTGCTCGTACAGTTTTCGTGTCACTGTTCCAATCGATAATTCGCTGCTCTCTGATTGGCGGTTTTATCACGTCCACTAGGCCACAAGATATAACAGTAAATGAGTGTTTCAAGTGGATTACCAATACCTACTAAGAACACAAGCATTATACTTATTGAAAAAGTTTGTGGTTATGTAAAATAAATAGCTTAATGTAACGTATCCCCGTTTAATCCAGAACAGATTGCGTTCGAATCCCGAGATGTACATTAACACAAAGATTTAAGTTCGTCTACCTGAAAAGTCTCGAATTAGACAAAACTGGTATCGTGAGTTTGATTTCTAACCACAGTATTTACATATAATATGTGAAATGTTGTGATTGTTTCGGATTATTTTTCTCAGATAAACAATGTCAAAATGTTCAGTCTTTATTCGTTCCTGATGAGGAAAGAATTCTTATTGATTTCAATTTCAATTTCTGGTAAGTGTTTGGTTTAGTCAATTAAGACCTATTTTGACATCATTATACTGGGAAACGAATACACTATATTTCCAATTTCTATAACACTTTTGTTGATTTGGTTGGTTTTGTAAACCTTTTCATACTTTAAGATCATTTTTCAGCTAGTCAATAAGTGAAAGACCGGAGATCATTGGACAGTTGTTTCATCCATGACCAAAGCGGGGATTAATCCTCTTAAACCTAACAAATCTGGACCACTGAATTTTAATCTAATTTTCTGCATTTACTCGTTCTATGTAGAGATGGTTATCCAGTGTCAATAATGATGTGTCTTATTATCGGCAAGACTAAGCTCCAAAAGTTATGTTTGATCACTAGAGCGTTTGAAGTACTTCATGATATTAGTCACTAGTGAGCGTGTGATTAAACCTTTCACTTTGTTTGACATGCAATTTGCATTTGCCGAAAATTCATATAGATTTTTAAGATGATAGACGAGACAGGTCTCCAGTGCTTCCAGGTTTCCAATTTCGATTGGATTGTGATCTCAATGAATTTCAACAATCTCCATAACCCCTATTCTACTACTTGGTTCTGTTTGAGTAGAACTTTGTTCCAAAATTACAAATACTTCACATAATATGTTTAAGCAAATATAGAACTCCAAATGAAGGAATTCCAACATTTTTATTTGTTTCAAACGTTGAGAATAGATAAGCAATCGGTTTTTCAAAGTAAGTCATTATCTTGGTACTAGACTAAATGAAAATTACAGCAGCTATAGCTTAGGCATAATACTTCAGAGAAAATATTAAAATGTATGCGATAAACAACTCTATATGCTTCAGTTGCATGGATCTCACCGGACCACACCACAGAGAACCAGATTGATCACATCTGTATCAACAAAAAATTCCGAAGATCAATGGAAGATGTGAGAACCCGGAGAGGAGCTGACATAGCTTCAGATCACCACCTGGTTGTGGCCAAGATGAGACTGAAGCTAAAGAAAGACTGGACAACTGGACAAACAGCACTACAAAGGTTTAATACAGCCTTCCTTCGAGATACTGACAAACTCCATGAATTCAAGATAACTCTCAACAACAGGTTCCAAGCTCTACAGGATCTACTGAATGAACAAGAAACTACTTTGGAGGACAACTGGAAAGGGATAAAAGAAGCACTAACTTCAACGTGTCAGGAGGTTCTTGGTCCTAAGAAGCACCATCACAAGGAATGGATCTCTATGGGGACCCTGGACAAACTTCAAGAAAGGAAGAACAAGAAACTAGCAATTAACAACAGCCGAACACGAGCAGAGAAAGTCAAAGCACAAGCAGACTACGCAGAAGCAAACAGAGAAGTGAAGAAAAGCATTAAAGCCGACAAGCAGAAACACATGGGAGAACTAGCAACGGCGGCGGAAAAAGCTGCAAGAGAAGGGAATATGAAACAACTATATGATACAACGAAGAAATTGGCAGGGAGATATAGCAAACCAGAGAGACCAGTCAAGGACAAAGAAGGAAAGACAATCACTGAGATTCAGGAACAGAGGAAAAGATGGGCAGAATATTTTGAGGAACTGCTGAATAGACCAGCCCCATCGAATCCACCGAACATCGAAGCAGCTCACACTGACCTTCCAATAGATGTCACTCCACCAACGATCGAAGAAGTCAAGATGGCCATCAGACAAATCAAATGTGGGAAGGCGGCAGGACCTGACAATATACCAGCAGAAGCACTGAAGTCAGACATTGAAATAACTGCAAATATGCTTCACCTTCTATTCAAGAAGATTTGGGAAGAGGAACAAGTGCCAACGGACTGGAAAGAAGGATATCTCATCAAGATACCAAAGAAAGGAGATCTGAGCCAATGTGAGAACTACAGAGGCATCAGTTTGTTATCAGTACCAGGAAAAGTTTTCAACAGAGTGCTGCTGAATCGGATGAAAGACGCAGTAGACGCCGAACTTAGAAATCATCAGGCTGGATTCCGTAAGGATCGGTCGTGCACAGACCAGATTGCGACACTACGGATCATCGTTGAACAATCAGTTGAGTGGAACTCATCACTATACGTCAACTTTATTGACCATGAGAAGGCGTTTGACAGCGTGGACAGGAGAACATTATGGAAACTTCTTCGACACTATGGAGTTCCTGAAAAGATTGTCAACATTATCCAAAACTCATACGATGGACTACAGTGCAAAGTGGTGCATGGAGGACAGCTGACAGATGCATTTCCAGTAAGGACCGGAGTCAGACAAGGCTGTCTACTCTCCCCATTTCTCTTCCTTGTAGTGATTGACTGGATTATGACGAATTCGACATCCGAAGGGAAATACGGAATACAATGGACTTCTCAGAATCAATTAGATGATTTGGACTTCGCAGATGACCTAGCCCTCCTCTCTCATACACACGACCAAATGCAGATGAAGACAGCAAATGTAGCAGCAGCCACCGCATCGATAGGCCTCCACATTCACAAAGGAAAAAGCAAGATTCTCAAATACAACACGGAGAACACCAACCCAATCACACTTGATGGCGAAACTCTGGAAGAGGTGGAAACATTCAAGTACCTGGGGAGCATCGTTGATAAACAAGGAGGATCGGATGCAGATGTAAAGGCGAGGATTGGCAAAGAAAGGGCAGCATTTCTACAATTGCAGAACATATGGAACTCAAAACAACTCTCAACCAATTTCAAGGTCAGAATCTTCAATACGAACGTCAAGACAGTCCTACTGTATGGAGCTGAAACGTGGAGAACTACTACGGCCATCATCAGGAAGGTACAAGTATTTATAAACAGTTGTCTACGCGAAATACTCAACATCCATTGGCCGGATACTATCAGCAACAGCGTTTTATGGGAGAGGACAAACCAGCTTCCAGCTGAAGAGGAAATAAGGAAAAGACGTTGGAAGTGGATCGGACATACATTAAGGAAATCACCAATGTGCATCACGACTCAATCCCTAACTTGGAATCCGGAAGGGAAGCGGAAAAGAGGAAGGCCAAAGAACACACTACGCCGGGAAATAGAAGCCGATATGAAAAGGATGAATAGCAACTGGAAAGAACTGGAAAGGAAGGCTCAGGACAGAGTTGGATGGAGAATGCTGGTGAGCGGCCTATGCTCCTCGACGAGGGGTAACAGGCGTAAGTAAGTAAGTAATGCTTCAGTTGAAACTATCACTACCGACTAAGTATAAAAAGGGGGACTTTGTTGTCTCAAACATTTGGAAATAGTTTAGCAATACAGTGGTGATGCTTTCTCCACAATACCAGAGCATCGATAAAATGACAATAATTAACCTGCAGGTCACAAAACAGTTAGCGGTTCTTACCTTATCCCACTTTGTATCATGAATAATTACAAACTGCAGTTTCAAACGACATAAAAAGTTGATGGTGTCTGGTGAAAATCTACATTTTCTTTCATTTTAATTAGGTCTAATCATTGACATTGTCAAATTATTCTACATAAATGGTAAATACTTTTTTTTAAAATAATTTGAATAATAAAAAATCTCACTTTACACTTATCCATTATATTTTATGACAACTAAATTTATCAGATGAAAAGATAGAAATACCGACATATATACTTATCGATAATGTGATAAGAAGACGAAGATTATTCGAACTATGTGGTGATACATTAGCGCAATACATTTCGAACAATCTGATCACACATATACTTGTTAAGAACATTTATA